ATCTAGTAGAGCTTGAGCTGACAAAATCACCGGAAGCACCAGAGCTAGAGTATGACAACGAAGAGCTTGAGCTGACAAAATCACTAGAAGCAACTGAGCTAGAGTATGACACCGACGAGCTTGAGCTGACAAAACCACTAGAAGCACCTGAGCTAGAGTACGACACCGAAGAGCTCGAGCTGACAGAACCACTAGAAGCACCAGAGCTAGAGTATGACACCGCAGAACTTGAGCTGACAAAACCACTAGAAGCACCAGAGCTAGAGTATGACACCGAAGAGCTTGAGCTGACAAAATCACTAGAAGCACCAGAACTAGATTTTGAACTACTACCAATAATTGGAATAGTAGTAGTACCTGTACCAGCAACGCCATTTGTACCAGTAGTTGGATATTCACTAACAATACCGGTAGAGGTATGACCAGCTGAGTCCGTCCAAGTAGTTGTAAAGACACTAGTGTGGGATTTTATGGAGCTTGATACACTAGTAGTGGTTGTGGTAAGCTGAGGCTTTGAGCTAGTAGTATTCAAACTGGTCTGTGGTTTTGACATACTGGTTGTTGTTTGAGAAGTCATTGTACCCGTAGACGATGTGTCACTGGAAACTGTAGGATCCTTTGACGACGACGAGCTGGAAACAACTGGAGTAGTCTTTGTAGTTGACGAACTTGTAGTTGACGCACTTGTTGTAGTTGAAATGGTCGGTTGCAAGGTAGTAGTCTTGGATGCTGAGGAGCTTGAAACGATCGTAACAGTCTTTGTTGTTGAAGATGTTGATGTTGAAACAATTGTAGAAGGTTCTGTGGACACTGAGGAGCTTGAAGTAACCGGATCAGTGCTTGATGACTTTGTTGTTGATGTTGTTTTATCAGGCTCACTAGTTGTAGATGAACTAGTTTTTGATGTTGGCGAACTTGTAGAAGTAGTAGTACTTGTTGTTGTTGAGCTTGTGGAGGTACTAGTCTTTGAAGTTGACAAGGTTGTAGATGAACTAGTCTTTGAAGTTGACAAACTTGTATATGAGCTGGTCTTTGGTGTTGTTGAGCTTGTAGAAGTACTAGTCTTCGATGTTGACGAAGTCGTAACTGGAGTGATGGAAGTTGAAGTTGAAGTTGAAGTTTTTGGTGTTGAAACACTCGTAACAACTGTAATAGTTTTTGAAGTTGAGACATCTGTAGAGATAGTAGTAGTTTTTGTAGTTGTGGTCTTCAATGTTGAAGTCGTTTGTGTGGAAGGTTTTGATGTTGATGATCTCGAAGTAACTGGACTACTAGTGGTCAATGATTTTGAGCTAGTGATAGTACTGGTTGGTGGTTTTGAAGTACTTGTAGAAACAGAAGTAGTCTTTGATGTGGACGATGTAGTTGAACTTGTGGTAACTTGAGTTTTTGAAGTACTTGAAGTAATTGTAGTGCTTGTGGTTAATATGATAGAGGATGATAACGTAGAGGAAACCATTGATGATGAAGAAGGTGTTGGAGTTGGTACCAGTGTATAACTTTCAGTTAGCACTAAAGAGTCCGAACATGACAAATAAGATTTGAAAGCATCACAATCAAAACTTAAACCTTGGGTGTAAACAGGACAGTTGAACCAATTTGTTAGCCCACAAAAGGTTTGACTGATTATAGTACCGATAACAGCACCAGCAGTACCAACATAAAAGGCATAATAATGTGTTGCATCATCACGTTTCTGTAGACTATAACTATCATAAGATGTTCCATCAAGGGCAGAATAACCATAATCATGGAAACCATCATAATTGGGATCATCAGGCCGTAGTTTCTCATCACGTTTGAAAAGGTCATAAAGATCTAATCCTGGTGGTAGTTCACGCTTAGTCACAGAATCAGAAGCTGGAGGGACAGAGAATTCAAAAGTAACATAATCAGCAGCACAATAAAGTGGGACAGAAATTATAAGTGTTAAATATGGAAGAGTAACATCATAGGAGACAAGGAATGACCCATGTTCCAAATTCACACTACCTTTCACATTGGAAATTTCAAGACCAAATTTGGAGACACTGAAAGCAGAAGCTTCGATAGGTTGATCAAATTGGAAATACCAAGTAACTGTTAAAACACGAGAAACAATGATCCACCCAGAATTTTTACCAGTGATATCATAAGCAGCTCTGTAATTTCTCCCGTTCAATGAACCAGTTTGTGAGGCATGGGCACATAATGATGATAGGGTAGTTGCACGATAAATATCTGTGTGAACTGTTGTGATACCATTAACTGTTGATAGAGTTCCAACAGATGTTGAAGACGGCGTGGCAGAAGAATCACCAAAAGCTCCATTGACATAGAATAAGATTCCCAAGATGATGTAAGTCAAATAATGGTGAACTCTCATCTTTGAAGAACCTTTGTGCCAAATATGAGAAAATCAATTAGATTAGAGCAAAATACTCGTGGTGACTTTAATGAGGTTGGAACATTTGAAATATATAAGTTTGATAAACTTGAAGGAAAGAAATTTTGATTTATACCAGTCCTTGATTCGTAAAAGCAAAAAGTTTGATAATTACGCTTTTTTTTGCCCTCTCCTTCACCATCGTGTAAAGTTTTTTGAGTCTTTTGTGCCTTGAGTGGCATAAAAATGTAACAACACTACCCCAAATAGGTGTGTATATCTGAGATTTGATCTATACGTCTGAATCTTAGATCGTTGTGTATAACGTGTAAAGTTGATTGAAAATTTTCATCCATGTTATCTCCTTTGTATGGTACTATTGTCCTAGTACTAATGCATAAGCGCTTTTTCCTCTTCCCTAATGTAACAACATGAACGGCAACGAAAGACATGTGTATAAAATGTACACTCATGATTCAAAGCTGTAATTGTAAATGTAATCTGCATGTTTGTATGCCAACTTGTGAAGGTTGAGCGTTTTAGAACTTGAAGCCTTTCAGCATGTTCTATTAAAAAACCCGCCAGCTGTTAATATTCAAAGACAACAACATAATTTCCATGTTGGAAGAGTGTGATGATTATGAGCAATAATTGTGGAACGTGCTCATCTTGTATAGGCAGCGATGGCTTGGAATTGGTCAACAGCTCAACGTAGAATATTGTACCTGGTTTATTTAGCCTAATTTGCTTTACGACCAAGGCATCAAAACTTATTTTGAATTGGTAATCATTTAACCATGAGCCCTTGAGTTGTGCTTGAGCGTACTCCGAAATGAATTGGAATAGACCAGACTTCTTTGATGATCATGATGTTTGTATTGGCTACGCGTTAAATCACTTTTGATCAATTCTTTCATGTTTTTTTCTACTGATCCAAAATGTTTTTCATGGCGGTTGTGCTGACATAAGCGAGAGAGAAAAAAAAAAGATGTTTCGCGACATCGTTTTCAAAGCACTTGTATAAATTGTCATATAATTCCATAAGCTAAACACCAAATATAGACTCAGCCAAAACAATAATAAACTAGGGTACTGAACCACAAGAAGATATAGAAAGATAAAAAAATGGCGCCATATTGAAAAAAATGTGTAACGAAAAACTTAGCATAAAAATCTGTCCAGTATAATATGAAAACTCCACCTTATAAAAAAAACCCACTGTACCCCTATAAGCTATATCACCAGGATATATTAGTCTCACCAATAAAACAACCAAAAACCAAACCAAACCAAATAAATTAAAAAAAAAAAAAAAAATCGAAAATGTATCCAGATATCTAATCTCCAACTCAATAATATTCATCCATCAAATATAAATCAGCTCAGCAAACCATCAATATCCATCTTACTCTTTCTTCTCTTCAATCCATCAGGCCCAACCATAACCACATCTTCTTGTTTAACAATTGAAGATTCATTTGAATCACCTGTATGGAAATTCATTAATTGATGAGCAGCATTTAAAATCGTATCTATTCCATCATAATTTTTAGGAATTGAAGGATCTGAAGGATTTTTGGAAACTAATGCTTCGACTTTCGCTTCATCTTCATCATCAATGATCACATTCTCATTATCTTTACCAATTATGCATAAATTGTTATTATCATTCCATGACCATACAAATCCACCATATTGGAAATTTTTCACTTTTGAAAATAAGTTATAATTTGATGAAGTTGATGATAGGTCATGTAAAGATTTTGAAGCTTTAAGGATTTCTTCTAATTCTATTAATTGGATCTTGTTTTTAGATAAGGATGAAGAATTTGTAAAATTATCAGATTTTGAACGTTTTTTAAAAATTGGTTTGATAATATTGGATGATGAAGTGTTTGTAGAAGATCTTCTTCTTCTATGTTGTTGTTGTTGAGATGATAATATTTGATGTTGAGAGTTTAAATCAATCAATTTGCCAAAATTTAAATCACTTGGTTTTAAACATTGATTTGGGAAATCTTCACCAAAGATTGGAATTAAACAATATCTTATATTGAAACAGAAATTCTTGGCCAAATTCTTAACAATATCGAAAGGTAACCAAGTTCCTTGGATTTTCAAAAACCCACCACGAACTCTTTTAACTGCATTTGACAAATTTGGGAAATTTTCAACCAATTTAACAATATCTGTTTTATTATTACCACAAGATTTCCATAATCCTGTAAAGAAAACATAACCAGTTGAGTAATCCCATATGATCCAATTGTTATCATTCAATTTATATTCAAAAACTGTCAAATAATTACGTTCATCAACATTTGTGGAATATTTTTTCTTGGAAATGAATGAAGAATCTTCTTTAGTTATCAAAGGTTTAATCAATTCTAATTGAGAATCCGGGATGAATCTCAATAACTCTTGAGGGATTTCATTAATTGGATAATTAACCTTGATTGAATTCAAAAAAATCAAGTTTTCCAAATTGGTACTGTTAGAACTGCTACTCTTAAATTGAGTTGAATTTTTGAAATTATGATTTGGATTATTTGAAATCAATGGTTTAATATTGACTTGCTTTTTATCATTAGAACCATTCATCTTGAAGCAATTGGACTCTAATGATATAAAAAAGTGGATTCTTTGGATTGTATCAAAGGGTGGCAATAAAATTGGGTACCTTCTTAATCAGCTAAAACAAACTCCCAACTGTGGATTCTTTTGAAAATTCAGCTACTCTTTAACAACACAAAAGCGAATAATAAATTGGACAGTTCTAAATCACCAGCAGTAAGTTCTTCTCTCACCAATTCAGCTACTAAAGGTTCCTTTCTCCTTATTAACTCTGTGATGGTTTTTATCAGTAAAAGTCCCAATTGTCACTTTTGGATCGAATTTGACGTTTTGTCAACTGATAAGAGAAAAGTGGTAGGAGCAGGATAGATTAGGTAATATTTTACATAATGAATATACTTAATCAATTCAATCAATTAAATGTATAAAAAAGTATATAAATCTATTATATTCCAATATTCTATTCTCTTCAGTTATCAATAACCTCCAAATATCCACTATCCACATTGTACATCAACCCCCAGATCTCCAATTCTCCTTTAGCAACAGCATTAATCACTGGTTTTTGTCTTTTAAGTATATCCAATTGTTTTAAGACATTGAATTCAGCCAATTTTTTAGCTCTTGTCTTTAAATCTGGAATCTTGTTTAATTCCTCTATTTTCAAATCTCTCAATTCATCAATTTGTGTTAGGTATTTCATCAAGTTTGAATTAGTTGGACCTAAATCTTTATAACTTAATGAATTCCAAATACCTCCACAATCAGTATGTCCACATATTATGATTTTTTTAACTTTTAAAACATTTATACTAAATTCTAGAGTACTAACTGTGGTTAAATCATCAATGGAAATCATATTGGCAATGTTTTTAAAAGTGAAAACTTCACCTGGGGCTATGTTTAAAACTGTTTCATTATATCTTGAATCTGAACAACCAATCCATAAAGTATGAGGAGCTTGACCTTTACCGTTACTTTCGAAAAGTCCTGGTTTTTGATCATTCATTTTTTCCACCCATAGTTTGTTGTTGTATAGATAATCTTTTAAGCTGGATTCTTTTGTAAGAGTGAATGGTGATTCATTTTCATGGCTATGGAAATGATCGTGGTGGTGGTGATCATGATCACGACTATGATGGTCAATATCTAACGGACTAGTAGATAGTTGGGCAGCTTGTTGTTTGAGCATTGTGGGTATTATTCTTGTTGATGGTATTCTGGAGTATCTCAGTGTTAGCATCACTTCAACAAGAGCAAAAGACAAAGCTCCAGTTCAAACAAAGGGATTCTCTGGAATATTTATACCACCATTTCCCAATTGATAACCAGTACTAAAATTATATTAAAATCCACCTAAATCATGTTTTCAAAGTGATTCAACGTTTATCGTTGATGCAAAAAAAATGATGTCAACAATTAAACGCTAGGCAGGTGCCCCTCCAGGCGCTGGGCAGAGTCCCTTGTGGTGCTAGGCAGAGAGCGCGAAACCCTAGGCAGAGACAGTGGTCATTTATCACCAGTGACGACAACTTTTATACAGGAGATGAAAATTTTTTCGTTAGGCATCTAGGCAGAGGAATTTGAGAGTCGGTCCTGTTTAGGCGGAACCTCTGTTGGGCCGGGCCCCCCACAAAAACAGTGATGTCACCGTTGGGCTTTGCGCAAGAGACTTATCAGGTAATTGCGCAAATGACATAAGCGACATTTGGCGTACTTACCGCTTCCGGTCGTTTTGCGTGATTTTTATGAAATTTTTTGTTTATCTTCATCATCATCATTATCAATAGCAACTGATTAAAAGCCACAAACACAAAACACAAAAGCTCAACTCCACAAAATCATAGAATATTCGCTAAACTTTTTATTTTAGGCTCATTTATCTTTGAGATCAATTCTGCTACTGAATTGTGCTTTCAGAGTTTTGATTTGGTTCATCATCATCATCATCATTTAATCCCTGCCTCATCTCAATAATGCATTACTTTCCATTTATCTTGCTGATGGTATTTACCTCAATCATATTTACAACTTTTATCAATATATACAAACTAGATCAATCACCTATTGTCAATTTTGCACCTTCAAGCCCTGAACCAACTTTAACAATAGATAATTTCCATCTACAATCAGATTTCAAATTATTAGATATTTATCCCTATAAAGAAATTACAAGAAATAAGTTTAATGATTGGGTTAAGGAACAATTCCATATATCATTTGAAAAAATCTTGTTAAACATTGCAGATCCGGAATTAAATAAAGAATTGATGACAAAAGATAATGTTACAATAGGTGTTAATGTTGCATCAACTTCAAAATCAAAACCTGATTATTTTTATCAATGGATAAGAGATGGTGCTATAACTATGAATTCAATTATAAATTATCTTGTTGATGATAATTTCCAAAATAAAACTTTACAAAAAACTGTGGAGAATTATTTATCAAACAATTATAATCTCCAAAGATTAGATAATTGGAGTGGGAAATTTAAAGATAATTTGAAAAATTTAGGTGAACCAAAATTCCATGTTGATAGTTCTCCTTTTAATAAAGTTTGGGGAAGACCTCAAAATGATGGACCTGCCTTGAGAGTTATTACAATTGATAATTTTGTTAAAAATTTGGAAAATTTTAATTCTGAATTGGTATCAAAAGATTCAAATAATGAATTGGAAACTGTTAAAGATATTTATGAAAAAGTTTTAAAATTGGATTTACATTATATCTTGTCAAACTGGAATTTGAAAACTTTTGATATATGGGAAGAAATCAACTCATTCCATTTCTTCACTTCTTTAACTCAATTGAAAGCTTTGAAAATTGGTTTGAAATATTTTAATAAATTTAATGATGATGATACAACTTTTGGTGATTCTTTAACAAAAGTCTATATGGATTTATATCATTTCATTAATGAAGAATCTGGGTTTGTTAATTATAATTTGAATCATATAGTGGAGACCCCTTCAATCTTGAATCAAAGATCGGGTTTAGATGCTGCTATTTTAATTGCTTCATTATTAACCCATGATGATTTTGATGATGCTATCCCATTTGATGTTAATGATGGTTTAATTCTAAACACTTTAAGTGAATTGATTAAAACAATGAAATATCTTTATCCAATAAATCATTCTAAAATCAATTTAAATTTAGGTGTTGCATTAGGAAGATATCCAGAAGATCTTTATGATGGTGTTAAAATTGATGAAGGTAATCCTTGGTTTTTAACAACTTTATCTGCAAGTGAATTATTATTTAAATTAATTGCAAACTTATATTATTTAAAAGAACCTTTATTGATTGATGAATCAAATCAACATTTCTATTTCCATAACATTTTGGAACTGAATTTTTTGAAAACTCCATCTTCTAATTATCCATCTGGTTCAAATTCAAATTCAATTCCAACTTTAGAATTACCTTATAATTCAATTGCTTTTAATCAAACAGTGGCCAATTTATTTGCATATGGTGATTCATTTTTAGATGTCATTAGAGAACATGTCTCAAATGAAGGTTCAATGAGTGAACAATTTAATAAATATAATGGTTATATGCAAGGAGCTGAAAATTTAACATGGAGTTATGGATCTTTCTGGAACTGTTATAGATGGAGAGAAAGAGCTTTAACATTGATTGAGAATCAATGATTTCGGGGGTTCAATTTTATCACTACAAGTGCTAATGTATTTGTGTTGTTGTCTGTTGTGTGTTTTTTATCTTTAGCATGGTGTGTTTTTTCTTGATTTTGTTGTTAATGTCATATGAGGTTTCAGGTTTATTCGGTTAGTGTCGGTCGTTTGTGTGTGTTTTTTTTTGGCTTTGGGTTATGTTTTTTGGTATTGATTCATTCTTTTCACAACTTTTATTATTCCTGCAGTTACATTTGGTTTGTCATTTTTGAGGAATCTATTTTTTTTTTGCTTCCACTTCGATTGATTCCTTTATTTCATCGCAATCTACAGGTAGATATCATTAGAAGTATTTGTGTTTTTTTCTTGGCTTCAATCCTAAGAGTTATATTTTTGGATGATCATTGGAGTTTATTACCTATGTTCAACTACAATTTTTTTTTGCTTTTGATATTTTATATTTTTTATTTGCTGCAATTTCACTTTGTTTCAAGTTTATTATAGGTTCACGGTACTTTCGTTTGGATTAGATCACAGAATAGAAATTTGTTTTTGATTTTACAACAGTCTTATTTCTCTGTTATAATCATGGTTTTCTAGGTTATATATTTATACTACAATATTATTGCTCTACATTGTAAATTTTTAAACATTAACGTCTCACACGACAAATTAAGATATTTTGATATTCAAGATCTGAATTAGATCTGAATCGATCACCGAGCTGCTGATATCGAGTACAGTATCCCGTTAACAACCATGTTTAGCCTATATAATTGAAAAAAACAAAATCATGTCGATTCAAATTTCATAGTGTACTATATTTATAAATCAACTTCAAAATTATAATGTTATTGACAGCTGGGTATTCAGGGCTCAGACTTTGAAATTTTCCTTCCAAGTGTACAAATATCAGTGAAAGTGTAATTGTTCGGCCTTCTATAATAGTACTAGAGGTGCATGATGATACATGAGCTGGTGCTATAACCTGCATGCAACCAGCTAGTGTCGATCGCGGATCATTGTACTAGTCATGTAGTACTAGCTACGTTTTTTTATAATTCAATACATGATTGATCATACAATTCATGATTGATTTTTTACATCTATATTGTCGACAGCTCTTGGATGAGGAATGCAATGATCATTAATTATTATAATTATTATTATATTTTTATAATGTTAATTATTTTAGCATTTTATAAATACACATATTCAGATACATTAAAAAAAAAAAAAAAAAATAATATATAAAAGTACTATCGGATCATATTCTCACGAGCTAAATATTATTAATATTATTATAAGCTTTCATCAAATACATCAACTAAAAAANAAAAAAAAAAAGAAATTAAATATATTTATAAAATAATTATTATAAATCGCGGACATGAGTGCAATATGATCAATCAATATTAAATATATATATATATATATTAAATATAATTAATATTATCATGACGTCGCGGTAGACTGAATATCACGTCGACGCGGACGTCATAAAACGGGATATATTTGAATATAGCGCCATTTTTTACTGAAAATTTATAATTAATACTATATAACAATATGACAATTATAATACCAGATGCGTCATTTAATATATTAATTATATAAATTAATTAATATAAAATTTCTAGTTGTACTGCTGCACGTTACAGTACCCGGCAAACCATTTTTACTATTTTTGTTACAAATTTAGATTGACATGATCTTTTAATTGAGTAACTGATGTCTGAAGATTAATTCCCAACTGCTCTAATGTTTTTGCTGTAAAGCTGGTCAACGAGGGCAGATGTGCTTATACTGTAAGTCTGTAACGCTCATGTATATTATACTTAGCTGGGAAATATTGATTTTAGATGTCTCTTTTTTCTACTACAATTTTGTTTTTGATTTAAGGTTGAGTCTTAAAAGTTAAATGAATTGCAATTTCATGCTTAATTTTTAAAAAATAACCACTATCCCACATGAGCAAAAGCACTCTAACTATCAATAACCTTTACTTGCACCAAGAGATCAAGAGCTAATTCGATCTTATTCGATCCTGAATCGTATCTGACAAAAATTACGTTGTTCCGAAGGTTGTACGTCTGTACGTCACCTTAATACATAGTCATCCTATCTAGTCTATCAGACCAACACAGCAATTGTACAAATGAATTGAGCTGTAAATTTATTCAGGTACAAAGAGTTTTATCACGAAGACAGACCTACGAAGTATGCGTTATGAATTGATAGATTAGACGATCAAGTCAACAACTCTTCTCGGAAAAACAATCATTAGATCATGAGAGCTCATTAATAAAATCTCTATTAATGTTTGATTGTTTTTCTCATGCTTGTGTGGTTGCAGATCATATGAAATGATTTGATGAAACTCTTGGAATAGTTGCCTATCTTGGGCTATAGCGCATCAAGTTTCAACTTGTACAAAGTTCAACCTCTTTCTTTGGTACACCTATAAGAATCTGAGAAAGCTTTTCAAACCGTAAATAATTTGTAACAGTACACAGTTGTGCTCTTTGTTCCAAAAAATGGCAAAGTTGAAAGCTCCGTTGTTTCAGTCCCCGATTAAAGTTTCACCGAACGTCTACCTGCATATTTGTTTTATGCATGGAAGCAACTAAAAATAAAAAGAAACATGTGCTAAAAACAAAATAAGGTACGCGTGGGAAAAATTACACCACTACGTACATAGATGTCAAGCTCTTAACCGTCTTTAACCTTTTGTTGAGCTCTGTATCAATTATCAGGTTTCGTGCAACAAGCTATTGTCTCGACTCTTTGAGTACTTGATTCGTGAACCGATTTATATTTTGTACCAAGCTTCAGGATCAACTAGGAAAGGCTAAAACAGCATGAAGTTTGAACAGAAAGACTCACCCCATTTGAAAAGTGAAATGCTTGCGTTTCAGTAGATGTGGTTCAGCTTCAACAACAAAAGTATAGCTACTTAGAAACCCCGGACAAAATGAGTTGTGTTGTATCAATTTGATTGAGCCCATTATATACATGAAAGAAATGCTGACAGACAGTCAGAACTTGAAAAGCCAACGTCACTTACAAGCATTTGCCCAGCTCCTAAACAATGTTTAAATCTGCTAATTCTGCTAAATGATTCAAGAAGCCATTCGTAAACATAGGTCATTTGATTATCGTCAGATTACCAAGCTTCAACTAGAGGTCTATGTATAACGACGTCTTGCTTACGATTTCTTTTAACTACATATCGACTAGGAAAAAGATTATTCTAGTACCAGAGTGCAAAATTGTGATAAGCTGGGCATTCAATGCAAATACAGAAAACTGGCCGTATGTGGTATGCGTACCCTAATTAGTGGTTGTGTGATGGGAGAGCTGCCAAGTATGTCGAAGCTTCAAGTAATTTTAGGTTTTTTAGTGATGTGGTGGCGACGTTAAATTTGATTATGCGCCAACTGAACCTCTGAACCATTTCAAAGTTCAAACGTCAAGGACCAGCATCAAGAATTAATTATTCCAGCGAGATCTTAAATACATTAAGGTTTTTGGTCTCAATAGCTATGTCTTGTTTCTGTTTAAACGTAAGCTATAGCACTTTGAAATTGAAATAAGTTCAACAGCTTTTCTATATTGAGCTAGTTAATCATTTTTCTCCATCAACTTTATAATCCATTGTTCAAACCACTAAAGTTTCAAGATTAATCTACAGCAGCTTTCAATTATTCGAATTATAAGCTATCCTACAGGATTCATTGCTATATTGTAGGGAATTTTTGTTACTATAGTACAGTAATGGTGGAATGATTATGTAATCAAGAGAACGGAAAATCAGAAAAAAAAACATCAGATCCAAAAACTTTAATTAATAGATTCTTGTCAAGTTTCAACAAACATCAAGGTTCGATAAAGAAAAGTCACTGTTCATCCAAAAATGCATTGCTACGTGCAGTGAAGCATCTTATGAATCTTAAACATTGAGATAGGGCGCAGAGGACGAAAAATGAGATCTGTTTGATGTTTATTTAGATTCAGAAGGAGAATTTATAAGACCCTTTTTGCTTCAATTTCCAACATGAATCATATTTTCATCAACCATTTACATTCTTATAGATTTTTGTGCTGCTTTTTGTTCAACCTATAAATCTTCAAAGATCAAGAAGTTTGTTAATAATCATAAATGTTGCTAACAAACAAAACATTTGCACTTTTGCAGATTCTTCAGTTGATTGCATTGTTCTCCTTTGCATTAGGTAAACATATTGATCATGTTTTCAATAGGGTCAAGGTCATCACCGGTTATGACGAGGATGACGATGAACCATATGATTATTTTAGAGTTAATGTAACTTGGGGTTTCACTTATTGTGAACAGGTTGAAATAGGGGATACCTTCAGTTTGAATATGCCTTATGTGTTTGGTGTGAATGCTATCGATGATACAGGCGCTTATACTCAAAAATTTGATCTTAAATTGAGTGATAATACTGTGATTGCAAACTGTGACATTGATGGTGCTTTTGGAAGAAAGAAAAGTACAACCATTAACTGTGAAGTTCAATATGAATTACAAACTCATAGAGGCCTACAAGGTTGGTTAGAGTTTCCAGTTAATTTTGAAGGTGGTGGTCGTGTTGAAACAATTCTCGAAGCTGATCATTGGAAACCCGGTTCAAATGTCATTACATTCAATGACGAGTTGAGTACAATCGTTAAATTTCATATGGAAAATCATGCCAAACAGAGGGAAGAAATTTACCGTCATACCTATGATGATGAATTGTTTTTCTACTATGCTGCTCCTAAAGATATGTGTTATCATAATGGTGGGTATAAAGCCATAGAATCTGGTGATTTAGGTATTAGTATTACACCTTCTGAGTATGAGTATGATACAATAGAGGCTTACCATACAAGAAACTTTTCTAGATTTTCTTTTCCAGAAGGTTATGAAGACTTCAATGACTATCACTTGCATAAATTTGAAAATGGTATGCACATCATTTTTGGTGAAATGAGAGGTAACGAAAGAATCTGGATTTCAGGTTATGTGCGTGGTCAATTAGAACCTAGTACGCCTCTTGTCGTTCAAACTGGGGTCAATCTGCTCTGTGTTGATGGTACTTGGGACAACGACACCTCAAAAGATGTTTATTTTTTAAGAGGTTATCCAGCTTTAAGTGGTGGTCGTAATAAGTGTGAGTACCTTGATTTACCATGACTAAGCTTTTCTTACTAACTTTTATTTACAGATATCGCAGAATGTGAACTTCCATCATCATCATTATCATCATCATCATCATCATTTTCATCTATTGGTTCAAGTTCAAGTCAAGCCCCATTATCATCATCATCATTATCTTCTATTGATTCAAGTTCAAGTCAACCACCATCATCATCATCATCATCATCATCATCATCATCATCATCATCATCATGGACCTCCTCTTCGCAGTCATCAGAGTCTTTGTCTCTTTCAGAGGTTTCCTCTAGGTCATCATCATCATCATCATCATCATCATCATGGACCTTATCCTCGCAGACATCAGAGTCTTCCTCTTCCTCAGAAGTTTCATCTAGTGCATCATCATCTAGAGTCTCATCTAAAAGTTCAGATATGAGTTCTTCTTCTTCAGATATATTAAGATCGTCGTCTATATACTCATCCAGTGATTTATCGTCTAGCTCTGAAGCATCTTCCTTATACCCAGGTCTCTCATCAACAACTTCTTTAGGTTCAACTTTTGGCTCATCTAGCCTTTCCTCATCAGTGTTTCCAACAGTTGCTCCTTCACTTTCCTCAAAGTCTTCATCATCTGCACCAAGCTCTTCATCGTTCTCAAATATTATTCCACCATACCAGAACTCAAGTTCCCTGTCCGTTGAATCCTCTACCTCTCAATTATCTCCCCTTCCTTCCAGCTCCATCGAAGTTACTTCATCAAGCCACATATCCATATCGGAGTCAACCTTATCAACCAGCTTCCCAGAATCAAGCTCAGCTACTTCTACTGTCAGCTCCAACATAGGCTCCACTTCTACAGCAACTGAATCAAGTGTTACATCATCATCAAGTAAATTGAGCTCAGAAACTACAGCTTCAACCTCTCATTCATGGTTAGTCACTACCTCAACATGGACAAACTCAGCTGGTCTGACTTCTTCTGGTATTGTTTCAGAGTATCCAACTACTGGTACAGATGGTGTTGTTGGTACAGGTACAACTACTATTCTATTCCCAGGAGCTTCAACCTCTCATTCTTGGTTAGTCACTACCTCAACATGGACAAACTCAGCTGGTCTAACTTCATCTGGTATTGTTTCAGAATATCCAACTACTGGTACAGATGGTGTTGTTGGTACAGGTACAACTACTATTCCATTCCCAGGAGCTTCAACCTCTCATT